CAATTGAAAACAGGTTATGATAATGGGATAACATTAGACAGCCTATGCTACCATCTATTACATAATGTAGTTACATAGATTTTTTTTTCCCAGAGGGCAAGTTTTAAGGGACACTCGTGGCTCTGTTTGATTTGGTATATTACTTGTATTTTGTAAAATTAGGACTATCTATTCTTTGCCGTTAACTCAGGCAACAACTCAGAACAAATTGACTCCATTAAAAATTTGGGATGAATCACAATTTTAAATTACACTTTCATTATAGAATGCCAATTGAAATATATTATACATATTTTTGAATGTTTTTCAAATATATTGATTTCAGTTGCAACACAGAATGCCAAGTATACAACGCTCCCTGTATATTTTTCATTATAAATATTTGCATTATAAGAAAGCAAACAAAATAAAATATTTTCATTTCATCTCATGTGAATACTATATTCTAATCTATTGTATTCTTACTTCAAAGTAGGAATAAGAGATCCTCCGGAAAAGGGCTTTTTTCCGGAGGATCGGGGCCAGTCTAGACGCTCTTTTCCAGCTTTTCTAAAAGCCGGAAAAAAAGCGGCGGACATTTTTATATAAATGCCGCGGGGGATATTTAAATCCCCCGCGGATTTCCCTATTACGACCTGTAAAATTAGCATGCCCCTTTCGGAAAAGGGGCCAATGTAGACGTAGCCGGTAATGATAGAAGATATAGGAAACCTGACTTTAAGGAAAAGTTAACACAACTGGGCAGATTTTACTATTGACAAAAGAAGACTCAGGCTACATCTGCACTGCACTGCTCTTCTGGAAAAAAAACTACACAAATTGTGAACGGCAATTTGCATAGCTTTTTCTGATTCTTTTTTCAAAAGAGGCTTTTTCGACGTTTGGCTCGTCTACACTGGGCCAAATGTAAGAAAAAAAAAACCCTTTTTCAGAACATCCCTTCTGCCTTGCAAAATGAAGTTTACAGGGATGCCAAAAAAGCGTGTCTGCTCTTCTGAAAAAAATTCCAGAATAGCAGATGCATTCCCTGGACACGGCAGAGTTTCTCCAGGATACCTCTGGTATCCCAGAAGAACTCTGCAGTGTAGACTCAGGGGGAACCTGATAAGTTTTCAAATATTTGTAGGGCAATTACAAAGAGAATGGTGATCAGACGTTGTCCAGGTCCACTGAAGATATGAAAAGAAGTAATTAAGCTTAATTTCAGGCAAAGGAGATTTAGGTTCAATAGCAAGAAATCCTAACTATAACTATAAGGATAATTAAATACCAAAATAGGTTACTGAGGGAGATTTTGAAATCCCCATCATTGGAGACACGTAAGAATAGATTAAACAAACACCTGCCAAAGAGGGTCTAAGCAACAGCCTTAGGGTGAGGCGATGAAGTAGATGATTTCTTGAGGTCCCTTTCTGAACCATAGAAATGTAGGGCTATGTGCATAAATATCCACAGCATCAGGCCCAAGATAGGATTCTGAAAGTATTATGCTCATTGAAATCTTTAGTGGGAGACATAAGCATTTACAACACTAATGTTCTTTCCTAGTTACAGTTCTACAGAGATTCTAGAAGATTGCAGTTTTGAATTGTAAACCATAGCAGACATTCCAATGTATTCCACAACAAGCCACTCAAATGCCATTATCCAAATGCAAAAAGCCTCCTTGAGTACGTAAAATTTGAGCCTCATGCGCATAAAACGTTTTAGTTACCAGTAAGACTATAGTGATGCCTCATTTCTATTCATGTCTTTCAAGGGCTCAGTCTTCGTTAGAAAGATGTCTTTCTGCCATTCTTTGGTGTTCCAGCACCTCTCAGCTTTACTTTTATATCCTATCATTTTAAACATGTATGACTACACATACTTCAGCTAGTGTAAATCAGATTCGTTTCCTTAAGCCAATGAAATCAAGCTAATTTGTACTAGCTGTGGGGTGGAAACTTTACAACTGTTGACATCTTATATCTGTGTCACTTCTTTGCTGAGTGGTAAGAGATGTCCATGATTCTGCATGTTGGCTTCCCACTAAAGAAAAATCATTGACAAGTTTACACATATGCACTAGTCCTGAAATGTAATGGTCAGACAGTATGTAGGTCATTCCCTTTCTTCTGGACTCTCAGCTCAACACTAAAGCTTGGCTCTCTGGGAGCAACTCTGCTTCTAGAACGGACTCTAATCAGATCCCATGGCAAAAAGCAAATTCTCCCACTGTGTATATAGCTCCCTCACTCTTGAAGCTTCTTTTACACACAGAACTATGCCTGACCCTTGTAAAATCAATGCCACAGTGTGTCTTCAAGAGTAAAAAACCAGCACCCATGAAGGATCAAGACCCCAACACTGACAACAAGACTTGTCATTTCTGTAGTACTTTCTATCCACCAATCTCAAAGGGTACGTCTACACCGCACAGCTATTTTGGGATACCAGAGATATCCCAAAATATCTACCCCATGTCAACACAAGTTACCCATTTTTTCGAAATAACAGGCACGCTATTTTGCCACCCAGTAAGTCTCGTTGCATGATCTCAAAATAGTGCTTTATTTTGAAATTTGGTGCTGTGTAGATGTGCTCAATTTCAAAATAAGCTATTTTGAAAGTTTTTAAATAAGATATGCAATTTACATAGCACAAATTGCAGATCTTATTTTGAGTTTGGGTGCATCTACACAGCACTCTAAAGTGCTTACTAATATGATCAGGTCTGGTGAGAAGTCAGAGTATTATCTGAATCCAAAGCTATGGTGACTTTTTCAGGCAGTGTCAGGAAATAAATCAATAGGGGACACAGCACTTCCATCTGATAAATGATTCGTATACACAAGAATGCTTCCACCCCAAAATCCTAATTTGTATTGAACAATATAGTAATAGTCTTAGTAATCCAAAGTTTGAGGAGGGGGTGAGAGATTCAGCAGCCTTTCTCCTAGCTCCTGGGGAGTTTGATGCCACTCTCCTAACTCACAGCAAATCCAAACTTCTCCCAAGTGCACTCTTACCTTAGTTATGCTTTGTTTTAAGTAACTAAAGTAACTTCTAAGAGGCTGGGATTTCCCTAGCAACAGCCAAGAACTCATAATTTCTACACATCAGCCAAGCAGCATCCAGCAAGAAAAACTTACAAACCCAAGTATTCAGACCAAGGTCAGTTTTCCACACTCTGTCCTTCCCATGAATCTGTGTTGGCTAGTAACTCACTGCAGCTGTTTTTATTCTTAAGCCAATGCCAGATTTTTTTTTGGATTCTGTGATGTCTTTGCTTCCAGTGTATAATGGCTAAGTGCACAAGATGACTGTGGGTTATATCAAATAAGTAAAGGCATAAGTAAGAGTCACCTTGGATTCAGCAAGACAACATCATGTCAAACCAACCAAATAAGTTTCTTTGAGAGGGTAACAAGCCTTATGGATGGGAGAAGCTTTAAATTTGATACTGTCTGATCTGACCCTATAAACAAGCCAGGGAAATACAAACCAGGTGAACCTACTATAAGATAGGTGCATAAGTGTTTGACAATCCATGCCCTGAGAGCAGTTATCAGTGGTTCATAGTCAAGCTAGAAGGCCATAGTGAGTGGGATCCTGCAGGGATCAATTCTGGATCTGTTCAACATCTTTGTCGTCGATTTGTGTATTGTAAAGTTTGCTGAGGATACCAAGCTGGAAAGGGTTTGCAAGTGCGTTAAGAGAGAATACAAATTCAAAATGATCTGGACAAACTGGAGAAACGATCAGAGGTAAATTGCTCCTGGGTGGGCTGCCCAAGCACACAGCTTCCATAGGTCTGCCACAGTGTTACCAAGGAATAGTCTAATTCTGGAAAGCAGCCACAAATCAGTAACTCAGCCAAGTGTCAACAAAATCAAATTGACTTTCACCCACATAAGTAGGCATTCTTTGGCAGGAAAGAGGATGTGGAGGGGAAGCCTATATCTGGGGATATATACTCCTGCACCACAGCGGGAGACGATTCTGTAAGAACAGAAAGGAAGAGCAGATGCCCCCAACTGTTTCCTCATTTTCTCTCTATTCGTGGCATTGATCACACTTGAAGAGCGAAGGAAGGCAGCATTGAAGGGGGAGGGAGAAGGGATCCTGACAGACATTCAGCCTCATAACTGCTGAAATGCGGCGAGAGAGACTTGTGCTTTGAATTCACTTAGCTTGTTAAGTTAGGCATTAATTCGGTCTTATTTTTATTTTCTTGTAGCCAGTTCTGGCTCTTATGTCTCATTACTTGTAGTCACACACACTCGGTTTTGCAGCAAGTGGTTTAAATCAAACAAACATCGTTCACTGTGTTTGGACTGAAATGCTTGGAAAACAATTTGGGCTGGCAGGATTTGGGCATATAATGCTTCAGTAATATAAAATCTCATTTATGAGCTTGTATTGTCCTGGGGGGAGGAAGGGGAGGGGAGGTTAGGTATTATAAGGCACACATGGTTGGAAGAAAAATCAGAGACTGGGACATTCCAGAGTGAAATTAATCAGTGGTGGGCTATCACGCTCATACACAACAATAGGCAGCAATTTACATGCTGGAGCCTCTCACAGTGAAGCAGTGGGAAAGGCATCCCAGGGTGGAGGATTAAGGGAACCAAGCTGTTCATCAGGCCAGATATTGCCAGAGTTTGACTTTACTTCAGGCACAGACAAAAGTCCGTCTTCTGGTTATATATAAACTATATATAAAATTCAAAATCTGTATCTATGAATACTAGTATGACAATTTTAACTGTTTGGGTTCTAGCATGTGGGGTTGGAATTTCTCAGTAGTGACTGGTGATTTTTGGACACCTTAACTTGAGACTTTCATAAAGTGTTAAAATCAACTCTTTGTCAGGCCCTTTATAAAGATGTTTCAAACTCTTTAGTGCCTAAAATCATTAATGTCTCTTGAAAAGGCTTGCTCTTATATTCCTATTCTCCAATTTAAAGTCAAAAGTAAGAGAAGCCAATTAAATGGCATATGCTCAGAAATACACAGATTGGTTCCAAGTCCTTTATTACAAAGATCAAAAGTTGCAATTACAATTTACAGACATGATTTAAAAGTTATTCACAGAGGGATACAAGAACAACTGATATACCCTAGAGAACCCATCAGAGATGGAAGGTGGGACAGATTAGTAGTTTACAATCTTTCAATAAATAAAGCAGAGATCTGGATCTATGTTTCCCTGTGCCTCTTAGCTGTAAACATTAGACATTACATGCTTAGCACCTTAAGTCATGATCCTGCAATGTGTACGCACACGTGTGCACTTACGCATTTTACTTACAACTTGACTGTTGTTTGCTCTCACATGCATGAGCATTTGCAGCATCTGGGCTTTCTTCATACATGAGGGTTTCTGGCTGCTATGAAAAAAGTCTGGAAGTTTTAGTACAGTGATCACACCTCAACATTTCTTTTGAAGGATTCTACTGATTTGAGCAATATTCCTTGACTTAAAAAAAATAAATAAAAAAAAATAGAGGCTATCACCGGAATGATTCTCTATCAACTCAGAGAGCGTTAGGTGTGACCATTATATTTTGTTAGAGCAGTATACACACTCAAGATATGTATCAGCAACTTGAATAGATATGTAATTATGTTTAAGACCACAAATTTATTGCTTGTTTGTACATTTTGTTATGCTAATGGTTTTCATGGTAGCTTAGTTTTTTAGAAAAAAATCACTTCAGAAACCAGGGAACATAGCAAAAGAGTGACATTTTACCAAATCTCATTGAAATAGGAAAGCCAGTCACAGCATATTGTACAACATTAACAGAAAGAGAAGACTCAGTATGCCTAAGTCTCCCAATATGAAAATGCAACTTCAACAGTGCAGTAGCCACCATTCACCTAAATTTCCAAACATCCAAAACTTGCACTTCTGCTGTCTACCAAGACAAGACGTAGACAAACTGCACAATGGAGCATGTTTTGAGGACAACACAAATATAAAGACAGAAATCATCACTAATATGAAGTTACAGCTGAATCTTACTAATGCAAGGTATTTCACAAAGGGTATTATATCCAGTGATACTGCTTAGTAGGTATTATCCATATCTAGTTGGCACCAGTGTTTACCTTAACAAGGTGCCTGCAGAAATCACCACTGCAAAGATGAAGAGTAATGCAGATACCGTTGTAAGTTTACATACTGCAAGTAGCAAGTGTCAAGGTTTAATGGCACCTACTGTATTTATAATTTAGCATTTTATTTGGACCATGTGGGACAAAGCAACTGGATAGTATGCCTTTGTTAAGGCTTTGTGCTGGTTTAAAGGTTGTGGGGTTTGTTTTTTAAATATTGTCCAGCAGTGTCCACTTTGTTCATCTTCAGTGGAACAGTTCTTTGTTGATCCACATAAGACTGCGTGTCTCATTGGGTTTGCATTCATACTCGATGCTACCAAAAGCGTTTCCCCATTGGCAATGATTTCGTTTGTGGTAGTCATAGAATTTGACTTGCCAGACTGTCTCAAAAGTGCCGATGTCACTAAACTGCAAAGAACAGGGAATAAAGTTGTTAGTGGACAGCTCAATTTTTTCCCCTCTCCCATGCAATATGCCCTCCAGCTAATCTGTACATGTGAAACACTAACATAAGGCCAATTTCCAAAGGAGCTAAATCAAAGATTTTTCTCAAAATTGCCCTTGTATCCTTCTGGCAGTCTTTGGTGCCCACACAATCAATAGTACATTCAGGGCCAGATTCATCACTGTTTTGTTTCTTTGGCAATCATTTATGCTTGTGCAAGGTATGCAAAAATGAAAACCTTCTGACTGGATATAAAATGGTACCTACTTTCCATAGGTGCCAGTAACTGCTGGGGGAAAAAGCAGTGGAGAATCAGATTGGTAAATGCTTTAATTGAAAATCCTGCAACACTCAGTGAGATGATGAAAGCAGATGTTAATGCTATAAACATATTGTAGGAAATCTTTCACCCCTACATACGAAACATGGTTTTCCAGCATTGTGCAATGTGCTGTGTTTGCCTTCGGATCTGAGGTTAGTTGGTTACCAGTGTACTTTGATCTATATATGAAATTAATAGTAATGAACTTCCTCCTTTTTGCTTTGCTTGCTATCTTAAGTGCTACTTTTTTCATCTACGGTGCCATTCAGTCTTTAAATGAATGCATATTACTATGCAAGCTGTGGCTGTACTGTGTACTTCCCTGGGCCTCTATTCCACATTTTTATAACAAAGGAGAGAAGGTCCCAGTTACATTCTTCTACAATAACTGTTCACTGTGAAGTGCTTTTGAATACAGGGACAAGTGACACATTAGGAGATAGCAAAGTATTTTCTGGTGGTGGTTTAGCAGATAGCAAAGTATGAGCGATTTAATTCGTCCATTACAATGAAAGGGAATTACATTTCAATTTGTATTGGACTGACAAAACACTACTTTAAACATTTTACAGGCAGTCCCCGGGTTACGTACAAGATAGGGACTGTAGGTTTGTTCTTAAGTTGAATTTGTATGTAAGTCGGAACTGGCATCCAGATTCAGCCGCTGCTGAAACTGACCAGCGGCTGACTACAGGAAGCCCGAGGCAGAGTTGCTCTGCCCCGGGCTTCCTGGAATCAGGCGCTGATCAGTTTCAGCAGCAGCTGACTTGGGGACACCTGGGGTAGAGCACCTGGGGTGCTGCCCGGTTTGTCCCG